GTGAGACTTGTTCCATCTCTGTACCAGAGAATGAGACTGCAAACTACCACTCAGAAAGTATAGTACAGGTAAACCTCTATTTACGATGGGGTTAGGTTCCTGAAAAACCCATCGCAGGTCGAAATATCGTAAATCAGGTTCATTATAACATGGGCTGCAATCGGATAGGTTCCTGGCCAATCGGAAAAAAAAAGAATACTACTAGCCCTACAACACAATTAAAAAACACTCATCACATCATTAAGAAGGCTAGTCATCATCACATGTCCAGTTCAAGGCTAAGGAGTCTTAAGGTGGAGTGGAGACACCAACCTGAGTCCCACATAGACTTTGGGAAGTCTGAAGAGTGGAGACTGAAGGTGTAGCCCGACTTTTCAAAGTTACACTGCTCACTTTACATTCATAAAAACACAATATCAATAATGGGGACTCGGTTCTTTTATGAAAAAACGTTAGAAATGTTGCGATGGAGGTGTGGTAGGGGTTTAGTGGGTCTCATGCTACCGACCTGACCTGATCAATGTCAGGTGGAGGTGGGGTGGGGGATTAGTGGTCTCATGCAATGTCAGATCACCCAGTGTCAGGGTGGAAGATTAGTGGAACTCCTGACCAGAAGATGACTAGAATAAAGACAGAAGCTAAGAAAGTAGCAAATATATTTAGGGCTAGCAAAAGGTTTATAAATTTTTATTCACATCTGTCTCTATTTGCATTAAAGAAATGAATTTGGTACCATTGCATATATGGAGATGCCTCCCTGATGGCTTTCTTTTTTTTTTACCTATGAGATACACTGTATACAGTACTGTACTGTATTATATTTGAAGAGTACCGGTATAAGTAAACACAAATTATTACAGTAATGTATCTTTACTAACTAATGAATAACAAATAAATAATATTGTATAGTGAACGAGCTATAGTAGAATGAGTGAGAGAGGAGTCATTGATATGCACTGAGTGGGAAGTGAACTTTTTTCGGGGGCAATCTGTGGTTACTTTCTGCCCCCAGGGTAGAGTTCCTTCTTACCTCACATCACTACCTCCTATAATCTAGCATCTGCTAATTGTGTTAGAGATGAATTTGATACTATAATGATCCTGAGTAAATTCTCTACCAGACTCCAATAAAAGAAATAAAAAGAAAATATTTTGACACGATATAATGATGCTGACTCATCTGACTTTCTGAAAAAAAAAAAAAAAATGTTGACACCGGAGTCTATAAAATCAGTTCTAATGAAGTTAAAAACACCATTTTTTTTTTTACTAACACTGTATACTGTAATCATGAAAAATTTGCTAAAAGTTTGGTTAAAGACCAGTAAATATATTTAAAAAGCTAAATATCTGTATGATACAGAGATGCACCCGCCTCGTGAATGAAGCTGTGAGTGTCACAGTGGAATTCTCCACCGTTTTCCCCGAGTCTAAGCGACACATCTCACACAGAAACAAGAGCTGTATTTATTTATGCAAACACCACTGTACGTGTACAATATATATAAACAAACAAAATAATGTATATTACTACAGGTACTCCTCGACTTATGACCACCCGGACATACAACCACCGCAGTCATATAAAATATTTTTAAAATTACGTATTTTCGAGTCTCGGCGTTAGTGATTGCGCTGTGTACTGACAGAATTTTCGTTTGTAATTCCCTTTAAAATGGCTAGCAAGCGTAAAAGTGAGAGTTCTCGTGGTGCTGAGAAGAAAAAGAGACACCCATTTTAGATTTTCTATGTACAGTATTACTTTCGCATTTTCGACTTACGACCTGGTCATCGGTCCCTAACCCCATCGTAAGTCGAGGACTGACTGTACTGTTGTCTTCAGCCTACAGTTGTATACTGTCCAATCTCCTAAATGTAATACATAACTGTGATCACGTTTTCCATCTTTTAACACTTATGATGCAGGTGTGGTAGAGGATTAGCGAGTCTCTTGTTCACTGACCTGACCTGATGTAATGTCAGGTCCACCCATAGTACATAAACTCTTCTCTCATTTGTGGTGGAGGGATGAGTGGTCTCATATTATTGACCATCTGATGCAATGTCACGTCACCACATCCATTGTCAGGGTAGGGGATCAGGGTGAAAACACATCATGGTCAGAGCGAAAGAACTTCAGTCACTAAAACAGGGAAAGTACTTCACAAGTAAAGCAAATGAACTTCACAGTCACTAAAACAGAGGACATTATAATGTGAACTTGAGTGATGTCCTCTCGCTGTAAGGTAAAAAAAACAACACCGATGAAAACCGATAAACATTGAGCTCCATTTCTTACACAAGTGTAGCCAACAAGAAACAATGCCTGGACTGTAGTTCACCAGATGGCCATGAGGTGGCATTTAGGTAGATGATGCCTCAGCTGACAAATGAAGTGAGTGATGCGTTCCATATGCCGACTTGGCGAAATGACGAATGGTATCGTTAATGAGAGTTTGTTTACATTGTAAATAGGGAAGTGGTCTTAATAGTATATCAGCATTGTTAATGCGAATTATCGTAGATTGGGATACCATAAATAGAGGTTTACCTGTATTAAAACCAGCAACATCCATTGTTGTTTATACACAATCAAGTAATAGAAAGAAATTGAGAAAAACTTCCCATGTTATTCAATATTAAGTAGGTACGTTCAAGGTACAATAACCCCAAGTAATTGGTGAGTGGATAAAGGCAGTTCCTCCCTCATTGGTATGGCAACTCAAACTAATTGATAACAACATGAAAGTAGGGGAATGCTATAATTTTCAGCCTCTCTCACAGTCCCAAGATGTATTTATTTATTTAACCAACATTCAACCATCAAATACAAAATTATAACAAAAACATTACATCAGTTACTTAAATACAATTACTCCATTATAACTTTAACAAAAGCTGCTAATGACTTGTATCTTATCTGCAATGTCTCACTCACCCCTGAAAGAAACACCTCTGAGTGAATGGCCCTGATAGAAGAACCTTATGACTGCCTAACCTTGCATATTGTTTATTTTTTATTTTTTTACAAATAAGTAAACTAGTATTCAGCACAAGGAAGCCCTATTTTACAAGTATTTGCACGTATCAACCTGTCTATTTGGCAGCATAAGTGTAACAATGCCATGTTTTTTGGAGTACATTGTGTCATGTTTTAGAGGGTAGATTGTCACATTTTTAATAAATTTGTTTCTGATTATTTGTGAAAGAATTTTTCCATTATTATTTATCTGTATGTGTTTTGTGTGTCTACACACACACACACACACATATATATACAATACAGGTAAAGGAAATTACTGTCTCTAGAACGAATGACTCCCTGTCTCATCCGCGAAAATGCCGGCAACTTTAAAACTATCCATAGACATTCTTGGGTACATCCAGATTGTTATTTGCAAATAATAGAGGACTGCGAAATAAAAATCCGCAAATTTTTTTTTTTGGGGGGGGGGGGGCCTGTACTGAATATTTAAGATGGAAATGAGAGAGCACACTTTGGAGATTATTCACAATATATTTCTGGAAAATTACATCCATTAAGTGACCACCGCAGGGACCTACACAAAATTGTCCCCACTGCACAACACACTCCATCACTGATGCCAGTGTTTCCAACTGAAGGTTAAGGTTTTCTCTGCAAACTGAAGCAACTGGGCAACTAAAAACCCTATCGCCCGTATTATTAAACAACATCTTCCCTTGAAGAGGGTCGTCGTGTTTCAACCCGAGTTTTAAACTAAATGAGTCCTGTGGGACACCGCAGTACTGTACTTAATGGGGTGGTGTGGCGGTAAAATTAACTAATTCCAATAAAATTAATTTATAATATTGGAATTAGTTAATTTTACTGCCACACCACCCCGTTAAGTACTGTATTGTGGTGTCCCTCAGGACTCATTTAGTTTAAAACTCGGGTTGAAACACGACGACCCTCTTCAAGGGAAGATGTTGTTTAATAATACGGGCGTCAGGCTCTTCGTGAGAAACCACTGCACCCCCAGCAAGTCACAGTTTGGTATGGGATATGCTCAACAAAATGTGATTGGTTCATACTTTTTCAAAAATGAAACTGCCATAGTAGTTATTGTCATAGGCTAACATTAACAAGAAATGATCACCACATGCTGGCATCTGCACTGGAGCACATGACCATGAATAACCAAAGGAACCTTTAGTTCCAATAAGATGGTGTCACCTGCCACACTGCAAGGGGATCAATTGCTTGCCTCAGACAACTGTTTCCCAGTTTGGAAACCTTCCTTTTCCTCAAAAATCTCCAGATTTAACAGCCCCAGACTTTTTTCTCTAAGGCCAGGGTATACCATACAAAAACCAGCTCCTTACAGGAACTAAAGGACAATATTCACAGAGAAAACCTTAACATTCTGTTGGAAACACTGGCATCAGTGATGGAGTGTGTTGTGCAGTGGGCACAATTTTGTGTGGGTCCCCGAAGTGGTTACTTACTGGATGTAATTTTCAAGAAATAAATTGTGAATACAGTAAGCTCCAAAGTGTGTTCTCTCATTTCCATTTTACATATTCAGTACAACATACAGTACTTCTTATTTCCTACATTGCTATTTGAAAAACAGTCACGACTTTTGGCAGACGCTGTAAATGTTGCTCGTCTTTATAGTTTTGCAGGTGAAAAGAAGTAATTTAACTTCCTCAGAGAGCAATGTTCAGATTTCTCATTCATTTTGTCAAACTGTTTGACACTTAGAGCATCCGAGAACTTTTTTTGCTGACAGTACACCTAAAAAAAATAAATTTCAAAATTTTCATTCAATATGACATCAGTTAACCATGTAAAAGGCTAAGAATAATACCTTAGTAAAAAGCTAAACTTGCATTAAAATTGACAACTAGGAAAAAATGCACAAGAACTGTTACATTACTATACAGTTCATACCCTAAAGTTCTACCAATAAACAAATAAATTAAATAAATAAATAAATAAATATTCATTACACTAAGGGAATTGCAAACAACAATTTCCATGTTTTGTGGCTGTATTTTAGTCAAAGAATGAAAACATATACTGAAATTCTCTAAAAAGAAACTAGCACAATAATTCATTTTTCACGAAAAAATGATGCACAAATATAGGAAGTGTAAATAAAAAAATTACACCAATCTTACATGTGGTTTACACAAAGGTTACTCCATTCCTACATTACTTCAGGACTTCCTATGAATCCACAGACCCAGAATCTAACCTAAGACTAACTGCCTCTAACCAAACCTATCAAATGTATGATTTTAGCATGAAAATTTTTCCTGCCCTTACCTCTTCCCCTGGTTTTGATTTTGGGACAGTGGTATGTATTCCTGAGAAGCAAGGTAAGCATCACTTACCCTATAAAAATTCATTGCTTCAAAATCAATATATCTCTTTAGTTTATATATTATTTCATTGTATACACAACTGTATAAACTGCATTTTTTGTATTAAATCTCAGTGAATTTACTCCTGCTGTAATAAGAGACTAGAATTTTGAAATTTGCAAGACAGGAGCATTTGCTGCGAGAAAATCTATTCCTCGAATACACATTTGATTTGCAGGAGCCTCTTCTGCCCTCTTACATGCAAAATGATATGGCCCTGCCAGACATATGATGAAAACAATTAATTTTAATTATATTAACCCTTTTTCCTAAATCCATATAAATACGATTCAGAGCAATCTAATATGCTGTGGAAAAGCATTCCGATGCTGGAATTTCCCCTCAATAATGTGTGTTGTCATCACTGAGTAGAATACCTTTTACTAGTGATTTGAGTAAGGAAAGCACAATGTACTCCTGGTTGTCGCTCCCCTGCTATTACCCCCTACAGCACTGCAGCATTACCAGATCAATCATAAAGTCACAGGCAAGATTTCAAAACAATTTTCAATTTGTTTTTAATAATTTATACAGTATTTCATTTTACCACCTTAATCCATCCCAAATAATTTATTTCATTTAGGAATAAATCTGAAATAATTTATAATGTACCGAGAGTTGCTAATTATCTAACAAAAAACCTTATCTAAATGCCTTGTCGGTGTCATAAATGAAGGTTAAAGACAAACAAAAAATAACTATTAATCATCAAACCATTTTTGTTGTTTCACACTTTTGTAGACTACTACTCATAGTACTTGATAGTAATATAATGTCATCAACAGTGTTATTTGCTTACCCTAGCAGTTTTTTTTTCTTCACAACACACCACTGTTCTTGAGAGTAATTTGCCCCTTACAACAGGACTCAAAAGTTAGCACATTCACCAGGACCAATAACCTTGATTTTATTGAGTAAGAACCCCAAAATTAGAAGGTTAACCATATTCAAGAGTATAGACATTAAGAGTGATCATGTTTATGCACACCAAAGGAAATGAATACACCAATTTTACCATCTGGTCATCAACTTGCCTAACTGGTCGATAACTCCTGGTCCTAATAGGCCTTAACCTAAGTTAATCAACAGGATCAGGAACCAGTCCTAATGAGCACCAACCCTAATGGTTTTCTTTGTCAAACTTAAGTTGGGGCCTATTAGGTCCAGGGCAAAGTTGACCTGCAACATAATAAAACTACAACTTTGAATCTTCCTTTATGCAGTCATAATTAGCCTGTTTAAAACATTATTGTATGGTGTGATACCTAACTCCCTCAGAGAAACCAAAATCCATAAAAAGAAATCATGAGTGACACTTTCTCAGTTTTCACATGAATAAATGTACCATAGTCATATTCACCTTAAATTTTAAAGCATATAATATATTTGATTGCCTCTAAAATATATTCCATCACAAAATTGATAAACACAAATCATAAAACTTTGTATATAAAATAAATAAAAATCTTCCATATTTTTGATCATACATAAAATGATACACCCTTAACAAAGTACTGTATTTTGGAAAAGTATACAGTACTTCACTGTCAAAAAATTTAAGACTTCATTCAGTTATACACTCAAATATACAGTAATTTCAAACTAATGTATAAATTTTATGATTTACTCCTTTAGGTGTCCATAATATGCATGTTTCTTTACCTAATTATCTGAGGGGATTACCATAGTCGTCTTATCTACTTTATCTCAGTCCTTTTATGAGATGTTCTGTGCACTTTACTGTCAGTACTAAGCATTTAAAAGACCCAGGACTGATAATAAATACAGAAACCCCCTTCACTGAACTTGGCCAAACAAGATAAGCCTACTTTATGACATTGCTTAAAATTATCAAAACACAAAGTTAAATTTTTGTCATTTTACTAGATTAAAATTAATGATTATGACAATGAATTAAAATGTACAGTATAAATATTTAATAACATAATATTATCTTTCCCAGTCTAAACTGAAATAGTAAAAGCAGACAAGCTCCATTACATTTAACCCAAATTCTGTAGTAAAAGTAATGGTGTTCATGACTCCATATTTATCAGTTCAGAAGTCATTGTTTCACTTATTAGTTCTTTACTCTTAAGTTTAAAAACTAAAGCCATTTACATTCATTAATATCAAATAGGGCAAGTACATCCTCCGAAATGCATGATCTAGTATCCATGTTCTCAGAGGACCAAATGATAAATTTCTCCATTTAAATGTACAATGAACTACAGCACAACAATGATCACCACAGCATTGTGGAAGTTGTTTATTGTACAAGAGCATTGGGAGCAATGTGGAGCCCATGACATGAGCAGTCAGTCAGTCAGTTCACACTAACACTGCTATTTACAGTATAGCATGAGAACCTTTGAGACTCCGGGCCCATTGTATTTCCAACTTACTAGAACAACTCTTAAGACAAAAAGAGGTACTTCAATAGCACACTTGACCATCCTGTACAATGAGTGAAGCTGCACATAATCAAGGTATTTTTGCATTCAGATCCAGTCGAAGCAAATTTAAGCAACAGACCCATATAACTTACCCACTGGTTACTGTTCATAAATGGCAGTACAGTAATCTGTTTTCTTGGTTTTTCTCTAAGCTTCAGATTCCCCCTGTCCAGCACCTTCATCCTCCAAGATCGGAACGATAAGATTGTCTCGAGACATCAAATTATATTTAGTCACGAAAACTGTGAACCGTCGACATAAAGTAGTTTCCGTCTGAAAAAAAAATTATAATAAACACCAAATGACTTAGGTTTAGTTGGTTGATAATAGCACTACTCTTTGTGGTCCTTTTTTTGAGCAGACTCTTTTAAATATTCTAATGTGTCCTTGGGGCTTAATGTGGTTGTTCCATTGTGTGTATTAAGGATTGGATAAATAGACAAACATTTCTAGATAATTCTTCTAATACTTTCAAAACTCTTAACAAGGAAAGCAAAATTTTTAATAGTAATTTTTTTTTTGTTGGAACGAGTCTTCCGACTGGTAGAAGTATCTCTGGATCAGGTGAAAGACATGGTTATCTCTGTTCAGTGCAGAGTTGCCATGTGTCACAACATCCTCCTTTAATGTTTCTCTATTGTTCTTGAACATGTGAAATTTGTTCAATCAAATATTGTAGATCTAAGTACTAGTCCCAGCCAGAGTCATGCATACATTAAATTACATACAAGACAATAAATAGGCTAAGAGTAGCTTTTGGGTCTTGATACGTTACACAGAAGTCGGATGAGTAAATGTATAGGGAGTGAGTGCAGGAAGTAAAGTATGATAGAGTAATAACTATGAAGACTAACAGGATTATAAGGGGCAGCGATAGTTAATGTTGGAAGTTGTATAAATATGAGTACGACGGTTGGAAAAGATTTATAAATTTGAGAGAAACAGCTTGTAGGATACATTTTAAATACAAGGTAGAAGGAAGTTATTACAGTTAAGGTGTGTGATAAATGATGTAGTAAAGGCAGATAAATGGGAAATAACATTAGTCCCAAATATAAAAATGTACTAGAATCACTGACAATATATCTCACCTCAAATTCGTCAAAGATTTGTCTGTGGTGGAAGTAAGCATGAGAGAATATCCTGTAAACCCGCCGACACACTGACCCTAACTTGGCCACAGATGACTCCTTGATGCTCACTCTGAAATAATTAATTTTTTTTTTAAAGCAACCTTTTATATGTAGTACACTGTACTGTAGATTCCCCCGGACCCAACCTCAACTGAAGATAATATTATTTACACAAGATGCAATTCTTTGGTGGAAAAATTCCATGTTCAAAATTTTTTATAACCTTTACACCTCTTTCATGTCTGTGTAGGGTGGATCAAAGGGTAAAGAAACCTAAAAGAAAAAAATAATGTAAGGACAGTGTAAAGAATGTGAGGAATGGCAAAGAGAAGAAATAACCATTCATGTATGTTCATATCCTCAGTTTGTGTAGACAATACAGTTTACAAAATGAATAATGCACCGATTCATAGTCCTTCATATCATTAAGTTCATTCATTTTACCACTATTACATGTATAGTACAGTACAGGCATTCCCCGATTTATGTAAGAATTTGGTCCCAGAAAAACCTTTCATAATTTTTTCATAAATCAAAACACTTTACCCAGAGACTTCTACTATACTGTATTACTATATATAAGTTGAGATACAATCCTACAAAAAATAAATAAATAAATTACCCAAAAGTAAAATACATAAAGTGCAGTACCCTGTAAACCTGTATACAGTAGCAAATATAATTTTATACCTGTTCTTATAATAAACTGGATGGAAACAAAGTGAACAATAAGATACACTAAGCAATAATGACTCCCATTATGTAATTGGAGATACAGTACATTAATTTCTCTATAACATTCACATCTTTCCAGGATAAAAGTATCTTTATCATAAATTACTGTTGCTTTGTTTTCATGACGCAATTGCTGCAGTCACAGATGCCTTGAGGTATGACAACACTGGTTCAAACATCAAGGAGTCTTGATTCCTTGTTTAATATTGATTTTATTTGGCTTTCACAATGCTCTTAAAGAAACATATAAGTGATAGAACAGAGTTTAACAGTGCTAAAAGGAAATGTTAAGTACCAAATGTGCAGTCATGGTAAATGTGACTAGGAGACTGTTTATTCAAACTTATATGCTAGGTAGATACTGTATTTTGAAACAGGAGGGGATTTCATAACCTACTTTTGTATAAATTTGAAATACATTCCTAGCACTGTACAGTAATTAAATATTTTACATTAATGTTCCACTAATAAAAAAAAATGCTTAAAGTATGTTCTTTAAATCCTTGGTTATTGAAAAAATAATAATCTTAATACATTTTGTCCATAAATATACACATTAGGTTAAGAATGGATGGGTACCTTGGTAACCACAGCAGAATAATACTCAGAACTGTAGTCCACTCCGTAAATATAGTACTGTATGGTGATACAACATACAAAATGCTCCTCCTGTGATGTCAAAGCAACTGGCTGCAAAGCCTTTGTTCAGATCACTAGATTCACCCCTAAAAGTAGCTTAACGGTACACTGTAACATTAAAAGTTAAAACTATAGAGACATAAACAATAATGACAAAAGCAAATAAATAGCAAAAGTGAAAGCATAAATATAGCAAAAATTATACAAGTTCGTGTACACACTGCATCGTAGTCTACGGGTGCCGACTGCCTTGATGCTTGCCTTAGCAACCAGCCTAGCTGGAACACTGTCTTCCCTAGCAACAGCACTATGCACTGTCCTCTTCACACACTTGGTGGAAACCCATTGATACATAAACTTTATAATGTACCTTATGATAATTATTTTTGCTTATTTTCATTTGTTTTTGTTTTTTTGCACATTCTGTATTGAACTGGAAAAAAAATTCTGTGTATCTACCCTAAATTATGAGTTGAAATAACCATAACATAACATTTAGCTCACAGGTGAGGAATGGTTGGAAATTTCCTCCCTCGGCCTAGTAGCAAGATCTAAGGGTACAGTAGGCAAGCCCAGGATAAATAAGCATGTAACAAATGTAGTGATGAGTAGAAAATGCATAATGTGTGTGGTAATGTTTGTTTATTGCTTAAATTTTTCAATAATTTTCAGCTTGTGTGTTATGCTAAGCAATTTGTTTTCCTCTGACTTTTCCTTTCTCCTCTTCCTGATTCGAACTCATCATTAATCAACAAAGATAATGGGGCTATATAGGGAATGACTGACAACCAATGTTTACAGCAGCATGTTTAAATGCCAACTGACTTACTGTGAGTTGCAGCCCCACAGCTGAAATTTTGGTGCAAATTCGATTAGGTTTGAATCAGGATGATATAATTTGAACTTAGACGAATGGTTCAAAATAGAGATAACCTGTTGAGATCAGATTATAAGACCTAAAACTCTTTATTTATTTACCAAGTAGTATACAACTATACATCTTTTAATATTCAAGGTAAACTGTAAACTCTATCACTCTTGTTGTGGGAGCTGCCAAGTAGATAACTCAAAATGAAATACCATACTTAATAAGCCACATGCCACCACACTAAAGTCCGTGCTGAAAGAGGGTTTCCTGAGGCTACTTACACTGCCTGGAAAAATTCTCTGATGGCCTAACAAAGCTGAGTATCTGATTTTTATGTTAAGTCACACTGTTGATAATGCAGTGCTTGACTTTGAAAAACTGACTAACCTCTTAGGATATGCTCTACACCCAAATGTGCATGAAGCATCTTCAGTGAACTGACACAAACCTGCTAGGAAAGTACTTGTTGGAATTAAGAAGGCATGCAGCTCCGTCGAGTGTGTGTCGTGTGTAATCAATGGCTGGGCATTCCTTTGGGGTTTTGTGGGCCGCACATAAAAATATCCACTGTTCTGTTGCTGTCATCTGTGTACAAGTAGCTGGCTGACATTCTCCTTGTAATCGGACAGCTAAGCCATTCAGCTCCATACAAAATTGCCTGTAAAAATGTGATGTATATTAAATAAACATATAATAACAAATCCCAGATGCCCATCATGGCAAGAATACAGTAAATGTCAATGTAAAATTAATACTGTAATACTATATTCTATCACAATTTTAATAACATCAGGAGTTCTAGACACTGTTTAGAAAATCAGCTTACCAAACTATCTGTGGTTAGGGTTGCCAAAAATTTTATAGTACAGTATACCTGTACTTACTTTCTTGAATACAATACATTGTCTTTAATACAGAGTCCCTTATCCACAAACACCTGTTCTGTACTTACAATAGAGGCTCTGTAGCCCACTTGATAGATCATTCTTTTCCCAAGTACAGTACTTGTACACTACCATATGCCAGTGGTGGAGCAATCCAACAGTGTACTAGACTCTTGCCATGCAGGTAGGGACAGGGTACCCATTACAGTACTGTACTGTATTTATTTCATACTAAGAATCAAGGGACCAGCACATGTCCTGTCATCCTACAAAAATATAGTAAAGCTCTTGTATGATTAAAAAAACGTATACAGTAAATATTAATAATGACACCAATCATAACAATGATGACAATTTAAATCTGCTACATGATACCCTTGTACAGTAATAACTATAGTATTTCCATGCTAACTTGGCCCGTAAGCCACGCCCCTCTTTTATATTAATACTGTAGCTGATTGGTTCATAGAAAATTCCAACTAAATGTGTTCATAATTTGGAAAGCAGACCTCTGATATTATCTAAAATTATGTTAAATTTCTGAACTATCAAGATGCAAATGATTTCAAGTCATTAGCACTGCAGAGAGGATGTTAGAAATTTTTAATATTTATTATAGAAAGTCTATATAAATACTCACTTATACACACACAGTCCAGGGGGAGGTAAAACGCTCAGGGGAACCAATCGGCTATTTGTAGCTATAGACAAGGAGCGTGGCTTATGGGCCAGCTTAGTGCGGTAGCATTATACACAACTTTACCAAAATACTCTATAAATGTGGGCGAAGAATGAAATCTGAAAAAAAAGGTAACTTGAACACAGAATACACCTGTAAGCTGATCAGTAGTCTCACCTAAGGTGTTCATATTTCCAAACTCCCTCATCTTGGGTCTCCGGCGCATTAAGAATGGTGTCAATATTATTGTGGTCGAGACGGATGGTTTGTTGAATGTACTGTTGAACTACTAGAGTGGAGTCCATCTCCTCATAAGCTTCATCACACCACCGATAAAAATTCTGAAATCAAAGACAATAACTTTTCAACTTAATGAATTACTGAGGAGCCGACATTTTCAAAACGCATAATTTCTAAGATTTCTATCTATGCCATAAACTGTAGAATACAATACTGTACAGTACATATGAGGTTGTATGACTTTACCATATACCATACAGTATATAAAAACAATTACTGTACTGTAGTCCCAACAAAAATTACTGACCATGAATAATGGCAGCCTGTAGGTTAAAGTGAGGGTTGACACTATTTCTTAGTGTCGTACAGTTCTAAAGAAACAGACATCTATACAGATAAAAGGCAATCCTTGAGTCTCCTTTGGTGAAATTGGCATAGTAATAGACAAATGGCATGCAATTATTTTACTGCTTCCAATATTCATAAACTGTACAGTACACACATTTGTTATGTAAGTCTCCTCATTGTTAAGTATCATCTGACTATTTTCTGGGGGATTAATTGTGAAAATGTAAAATCACAAATCTCACTTCGTGGGATTTCTTGATCCACAAGCGGATGCGAGATATTTTATTTATTTATTTATTTTTAATCATATCCGCCACTTATCACCTTACTAGCCGTTTGGGCGGTCTATCCAGTGTTAGTACAGGAGGAAACCTGTGGTGTTTGGTAGGGAGGGTCACACTGGATAACACCCTTCTCACGTGTCCGGGCCGAGGCTCGAACCCTTGACATATTGGTGAGAGTTACGCACGTTACTGCTGTACCACCAACATGAACTGTTGCATGATACATTTTTAATCAAAAGAAGAAAATGTAAACTAAATGCTAATGTACAGAAAGGTACAGTTCTAACTTTTCTTACCAAAGTAAAAATATGAATACAGTACAGTACAGTATTCCAGTGGAAACTTATGCTGCCGTTGTTTTAATGCAAAGATACACATTACATGAGGTAAGATTAGGTAGTTTTTTTGTGGGGCTAGTTACTTTTACCTTTATCCTCTTCATCACAGATCGGCTCATTAGCCGCTTGGGCGATCGATCACCCACGCAGCTAGTATTTGTCGCCTCTTTTATAATAAGTTTCCGTGCACAACAGAAGTATGGTTAGTTTATAGCTACACAAAGATCGACTCACGGCAAAATAAATGCCAAATGCCGCCAGAGTCACGGTCAAATATAGTTCTCGCATTGTTTGCCGGTAATGGGTGATTAGCCCATCAGAGCACACTCACTGTAAAATAGCATTAGTAGGAACTTAACCTGTTACGGCAAAATATCCACTGCCAAAAACATCAGTGAAAATCACATAGAAAAAAATAAAGTGGCGATTCTCTTCTTAATCTCTACCATTTAAAGAGCATATAACCATCCTCATGTTAAGTTTGGATATATTTTTGGCTTGATTTCTTTGGGATTATTCACTAAAGCAATATATCTAGTGTAAAGATTGCAAAGCTGGTAGGTGTCTAAGGAAAAGTCAATTCTGAATATCCTTGACAGAGTTTTGCTCATGTTCTGTATGTTCCTGTATCGGGTATGGTATTATTTTCAGGGCTCAAGGGTTTGTTCCAGCAAAAATGTACTGATTTCAGTGAATTTTTGCCTATACGTTTAAAAACCAAAGGCAAACAGGTCACAGGCTACTTTCTAAGTAAATTCTAGGTCGTTTGCTCCTTGTTGCCTCATTAGATTTACATTCAGTGCATTTAAACAAACATATGATAGGAAATACCAAAGAAGGAAAAAATGCTGCAGGTTCAAAATGCACCTATATCCAAGCACACTACCGAAATCCCCATAAAATAATCATAAGGCATTTGATGACAAGTCTCATTAACCTTTAACCAGTAATGTTAAAAGTTCCTTGACCTTTTATGGCAATTTTATGATTTACTACTCCCCCTAGAGAGGGCAGTCATTTATTTTAGGGCCTGACCTGAACACAGTTGGTACTTTTTAATTTATTTTATATTTTATATAATAATCATTATGGGGACTGACTATGATATTAATTACAAGGGTAATGAATGTATGGACAAGGGTGGGATACTAATTGTTTTAACGTCACCTACACAAAAGAAGACTCTGAATATTTTCACAGTGTGAAGACATGCGACAGCTCATGGTGTAGGTGATTCTTTCATCTATATAAATATATCAGTATACCCTACCTCGGCTTTAGTCCCTGGCCGATTCCTCCGCAAAACGACAGTTTGGTCCGCCATCTTCATCTCAACTGATATATGCCTGTGTTCTATTCTTCGTATGTCAATAGAGAAATGTTTTTTATTGTCGTCCCTACGTTAATAAATGATAATTTTTTACTTCTCTTGTTAGTTCAATTTTCTTTGTATAATTATACTTGTTAATTGTGGTAAATCGATGATATAAGAGACGGTCTAATGTTCTAGTGTATTAGAAAGAAGAGATTCGGACGTCGTGCCAGAGCGGTTGTGTATAAAACCCTTGGCACCAAATGATCCTCCAGCCAACTTTTACTTTTACTTTTATCCTCTTCGCCACTGATCGGCTTGTTAGCCGCTTGGGCGATCGGTCACGACTCTTTTCCTTTATATTCTTCACCAAAAGGTCGGCTCGCTAGCCGCCCGGGCGATCAGTCACGTCTCTGTCACGCACTGTTGGCAAATACTGGGCATGCACCGGCTCCTGAATGTACCTGAACCCGCTCCAGTGTTGGTCAAGTCTTCTCTTGAAAGAGCTCACACTCGGTGCCGTCACAACACTTTCTGGTAGATTGTTCCAAGAGTTTACAACCCTCACTCCGAAAAAGTTTGCCCTCACGGTTTTCCGGACTTGCAGCTTCTTCAATCTTGAGCTGTGACCCCTTGTGGGGCGAGCGTCCGCCAGCTCCAAGTAAGGACACTCAACTGAGTAGTGCCCCCTGAGATGCTTATAAACCTCAACTAGGTCCCCCCTTGCCCGTCTGTAGTATAAGCTAGGCAAGTTCAGGCGCTCCAATCTCGCAGGGTAGCTGAGATGCCGAAGTGCAGGCACCAGCTTGGTGGCCCTCCTTTGAACATTTTCAACCAACTGACAGTCCCTAGCATATCTCGGGGACCAGATGGGGTGACAGTACTCCAGATGGGGAAGCACTTCACTCCTGAAGATCGTCACGAGGGACGGACCGTCTAGATATCTGAACGACCTTCTTATAAGACCCAATAATTTATTTGCCTGATTTACCTTCTTCTCACAATGGCCCGAGAACTTCAGCTCATTGTCAACATACACACCTAGGTCCTTCTCACACACAGTCTCAACTAGTACATTTTCTTCATCCCGTTGGGACATATGGTACGCCTCCTTACCGTTGGTACGCCCCAGGTGCATCCTCTTACACTTCGTGACATTGAATCTCAGCAGCCATTCCTTCGACCATTCCTGGAGCCCACAGAGGTCCTTCTGCAGCTCTTCACAGTCCGCTTGGTTCTTAATTTCCCGAAATAACTTGGCGTCATCGGCAAACATTTGTATGGAGGAGTGTACAACGTCAGGCATATCATTTATGAAACAAACAAACAACAGCGGGCCCAATACACTACCCTGCGGTACCCCACTTGTTACAGGTACAGATGACGATTTCGTGCCATTAATCACCACACATTGCTTGCGGTCATGTAGAAAGTCTTCTATCCACGCTAGGACATTTCCCCGAATTCCGTACCCTTCCAGTTTGATTTTCAGCCTTTCGTGGGGTACACTGTCGAAAGCCTTGGCAAAATCTAGGTAAATATTGTCGATATTACCACCCCGTTCTAGAATATGGGTCCAAATATCCAATACCTTGAGCAATTGTGTCAAGCAAGAGCGCCCCGGCATAAAACCGTGTTGGCAATCTTTTACAAGGTTGTTTCGTAGTAGATGTTCCATCGCTGCATCTCTGATAATACTCTCAAGTACTTTACATATTATGCTGGTCAGGCTCACCGGTCTATAGTTGTTCGTGGAGTGACTATCGCCCTTCTTGAAGATAGGACTCACATAAGCCACTTTCCATTCACTGGGGACCATTTGTTCATCCAGGCATTTACAAAACAGAATCTTCAGGGGCTCTGCAAGCTCGTTGCACAGCTCCCTTAGCACTCTAGGATGCACCATGTCAGGTCCAGGACTCTTATGGACCTTTAGCCTGGACAGTTTATTTCTAATACCCTCTTCTGTGAACACAATGTGGGTCAGTGCTGTGTCGAACCGTCTGTCCTCAAACGCAGGAAGGTTAGTTGCATCCTCTCTTGTGAACACTGAGGAAAAGAAGCTGTTCAATGCCTCAGCTTTATCCTGGTCAGAATCTGCGTAACTACCATCTTCAAGCCTCAGGTCTGATACTCCTACTCGCGTTTTCAATTTCGACTTTGCATAGCGGTAAAACGCCTTTGGGTTTGACTTGACCTCGCGTGCAACCAGCCTTTGGAACTCCTTTTCAGCCCTCCTACACTCGATAGACTGATAAACACATAGGTATATTAAAGATAAATTTATACACACGAAATAATATTTATATAGACATAAATTTATAAGTAGATAAGTATTTATGAACTTAAATTATCAAGCAAGTTCACAATGTGTGTATACTGTATACACACTTAAACACGCACACACACACAGTATATACAGTATATATATATATATATATATATATATATATATATATATATATATATATATATATATATATATATATATATATATATATATATCGAATCCGGCGGGGTGAGGTGTTGATATATATATATATATATATATATATATATATATATATATATATATATATATATATATATATATATGCAAGTAAATCACTGTAGGTGCGCGTTGTGGGGTATGAGATTGTTTTGGTTCACACTCAGGATTGGATGGAGAAAGGAAACTCACGATGTGCTCTCTATATACATGTTGTATTGGATGTACAATGCAGCTTGGTGCTGGGAAGGCAGCATGGTTACAAGCGTGATGTAGAGAGAGCTGGTTGGTGAGGACGCTCAGAGAAGGACAGCTTGTGGGTCGCCATGCTCGCCAGCGGGAGAGAGGACCGCCAGGCAGGCGGAGGAGCAAGGACCGCCAGGCAGGCGGAGGTGTTGCTGGCTGGTTGGTGTAGGTAGAAAGAGAGAGATCACCACGAGGTCAGGTCTTAAATAGCGGGGGTAGGCGTGGCTTAGCAGTTGACCCCCGCTCCGTGGTGTATGGCGGCGCTGGTTGACCTAGACCACGAGGCATACACTGGGGAATTGGTGGGGTCGGCTAGGCAGCGACAAACAGCGTTTGTAGGGGAGAATTCCACTACAATACTCCCCCTTCCCTCCAGGCTGTGTAGGAGACTTGTTGTCTGCAGGGTTGCATAGCACATGTGAGGCAGAACGGGCGGTGCGTGCCTCATGTGAGACAACGGCGATGGCGTGATGAGCCGGTCGCTGGATACAACTGTCTAGATACACAATATCTGTGGGAGTAGAGAGGGAGAATAAGGGTGTGTGGAGGCGATGAATGTTGTGCTTCCCTCACGGCAGGTACAGAGTCGACAGATGCGCCTGCTGGGGTGTGTGGACCTGGGTCAGGAGCAGGGGCTGTGTCAGCAGCAGCGGATGAGGGCTCGTGACAGCAGCTGGGTCCACGACTGCAGCAGGGTGCAGGACATTAGCAGGGAGTACCTGAGGGAGAAAAGAGGGGTGTGTGGGTCCGCACTCAGGAACAGAGGCCGCATCAGGGGCGGCAGGGGTTACTGCTGGGCCGGGGTCGGCGTCTGAGGCAGGACGGGTGTGCTGGGGTCGGTAGGACGTGGTGCTTGGGGCAGGAAGAGGAGCTGGTGTCTGCTTAGAGTAGCAGAGCTGCTCTAGGGTGTCTAACCTGCGGTGTAGAAACAGTAGTTGTAGAGCCGATGAGAGCTGCTTCTGGGTGGATAAGCCAGTCTTCCATGTTGCTTGAAGACTGGGAGCGTGATCAGTTTCTCCTCCATCCTGTGTGAGTGCGAATCTCCGGGAGTCACCATTTGTGGGGTTGAGATTGTTTGGTTCACACTCAGGATGGGATGGAGAAAGGAAACTCACAATGTGCTCTCTATATACATGTTGTATTGGATGTACAATGCAGCTTGGTGCTGGGAAGGCAGCATGGTTACAAGCGTGATGTAGAGAGAGCTGGTTGGTGAGGACGCTCAGAGAAGGACAGCTTGTGGGTCGCCATGCTCGCCAGCGGGAGAGAGGACCGCCAGGCAGGCGGAGGAGCGAGGACCGCCAGGCAGGCGGAGGTGTTGCTGGCTGGTTGGTGTAGGTAGAAAGAGAGCAGATCACCACGAGGTCAGGTCTTAAATAGCGGGGGTAGGCGTGGCTTAGCAGTTGACCCCCGCTCCGTGGTGTATGGCGGCGCTGGTTGACCTAGACCACGAGGCATACACTGGGGAATTGGTGGGGTCGGCTAGGCAGCGACAAACAGCGTTTGTAGGGGAGAATTCCACTACAATACTCCCCCTTCCCTCCAGGCGGTGTAGGAGACTTGTTGTCTGCAGGGTTGCATAGCACATGTGAGGCAGAACGGGCGGTGCATGCCTCATGTGAGACAACGGCGATGGCGTGGATGAGCCGGTCGCTGGAGACAACTGTCTAGATACACAATATCTGTGGGAGTAGAGAGGGAGAATAAGGGTGTGTGGAGGCGATGAATGTTGTGCTTCCCTCACGGCAGGTACAGAGTCGACAGATGCGCCTGCTGGGGTGTGTGGGCCTGGGTCAGGAGCAGGGGCTGCGTCAGCAGAAGCGGATGAGGGCTCGTGACAGCAGCTGGGTCCACGACAGCAGCAGGGTGCAGGACATTAGCAGGGAGTACCTGAGGGAGAAAAGAGGGGTGTGTGGGTCCGCACTCAGGAACAGAGGCCGCATCAGGGGCGGCAGGGGTTACTGCTGGGCCGGGGTCGGCGTCTGAGGCAGGACGGGTGTGCTGGGGTCGGTAGGACGTGGTGCTTGGGGCAGGAAGAGGAGCTGGTGTCTGCTTAGAGTAGCAGAGCTGCTCTAGGGTGTCTAACCTGCGGTGTAGAAACAGTAGTTGTAGAGTCGATGAGAGCTGCTTCTGTGTGGATAAGCCAGTCTTCCATGTTGCTTGAAGACTGGGAGCGTGATCAGTTTCTCCTCCATCCTGTGTGAGTGCGAATCTCCGGGAGTCACCATTTGTGGGGTATGAGATTGTTTGGTTCACACTCAGGATGGAATGGAGAAAGGAAACTCACGATGTGCTCTCTATATACATGTTGTATTGGATGTACAATGCAGCTTGGTGCTGGGAAGGCAGCATGGTTACAAGCGTGAT